CGGTCGGGCTCTCGGGTTCCCTGCCCCAGGCCGGAGCCAGTCGGTGCCCCGGCGGAGAGACCTGCAGCCGGGCTCCCCGGCCCCGGGCTCCCTCCGGCTGGGGCGGCCGGGGCAGGGGGACAATGTCTGCCCGCGCCCCGGGGCCCGCCGCTCGCTCTCGGGGGGAGCTGTCCTCGGCGGCTGCTGAGAGGGAGTCGCTGTCGGCCGCGGCGAGCCGGCAGGCCGAGCAGCTGCCCCCGCCCGAACGGGAGGGCAAGGAGGCGGCGAGGGAGGAGAGGGCCGCGGCCGCCACCAGCGCGGGGGCGCGGGGAGAGCCGTCGCCGGCGCCGGTGCTCGGGCACAGCGTGCCCCAGGCGGCCGTGCCCGTGAGGCCCCTGGCGCTGCACCTGGCGCACAAGACGCGCGGGCCGGGGGGCCCCTTCGGCGGAGAGCCGCCGCCACCGGCGTCGCGGGACCCGACGGCCAAGGACGCCCGGGAGAAGGAGGCGGCGGCCGGCCCTGAGGAGAAGCTGCGGCCGCCGCCGCCTAAGGAGAACCCCTGGACCAAAAAGCCTCCCCAGCACCTGTCCCCCGCCGGGACGGGGCCGCCACCGCCCCCGCCGGAAAGCCTGGAGGCAGGTCGGTGGCTCCTCGGTGGTGGGCACAGGGAGGGTGTGTGCAGGGGCGACTCGCTCGGCGGCCGGGGCGGGCGCGGGCTGGGGGAGGGGCAGGCCTCCTTTCGCTGTCATTCCGAGGTATTTCGTTCCAAGGTGTCATTCATTCTGCCTATTTACATAAATGGACATCTGGGAAGGGAGCGGCAGGAAGAGGTGGGACCTCGGGTTCTCCTTGACTGGTGGGGGCACGGCGCGGGCACGCAGCTCAGCGGCGCGCCTGGCGCGGCCTCGATGGTATTGCTCCCACGTGTTAGTGACTTGGGGAAGCTAACTTGAGTTAGATACTGCGGTTCATCCTATAGAAAAGTTGTTGTGGGCCTTTTAAGAAGCGTGAAGCAAGTCGGAGCAAGGGGAGTTATTTGCAAGTGGAAGGGCGATTGTGATTTCTTTTTATTGTGAAATAATTGATAAGGTGAAAATCTCAGTGTTTTCAAAACACTGCTGAGTAGTCGTGTTAAAAATGAGACTCTATACTGTGGTTGCTACTAAAAGGCTTTGAGTTATGATTGTGGTGGAAAATAGTTGAAATAGGATAGTTGACATGACACTAGATTGCTCATTAGGTAAATGGTAGTCTTCTAACATTCGGTTGGGCCTCCTTGCTTTTAGAGGAGATTAGGTTATGCCACTGCATTTGAATGCTGAACAGTGGAATATGGCTCTTGGTGCTTTATTTTGGTTGTGGTAATTGCAGGTTTTTGTGTTTTTTTTCTTTAAGTTTAAATGGAAATACTAAATAAAACAAAGACAAAAGGCAATATCTTCTAGTTTTCCTTTCTTTTTTTTTTTTTTTTGAGGAAGATCAGCCCTAAGCTAACATCCATGCTAATCCTCCTCTATTTGCTGAGGAAGACCGGCTCGGGCTAACATCTGTGCCTATCTTCCTCCACTTTATATGGGACGCCGCCACAGCATGGCTTACCAAGCAGTGCGTCG